TCTCTCTCTCTCTGACCTATCTGTGTGTCTCTCTCTCTCTCTCTCTCTCTGACCTATCTGTGTGTCTCTCTCTCTCTCTCTCTCTCTCTGACCTGTCTGCAGGAGTGTGCTGCAGGTTTTTTCCACCAGCCTCTGTCTGAGTTGTCGTCTAAGAGTCAGAAGTCGCTGTTTGTTCGTCCGTGTGTTCGATGTCACTGCAACAACCACAGTGAGAGCTGTGACACGGAGACCGGAGCCTGTCAGGTAAACCGCTAACACATGCTAACGCTAGGTAACGTTAGCTTGCACATACTGACACGCGGTAACACACGCTAACACCCACACACACATTTTAGAGGGAGCCTGTTAAAAACAGACCGTAGAGAATAGTAGAAATAAGTAGAATGCTGTTTCTATTTTTTCGTCCAGGGCTGTCAGCATCACACCAGTGGGCGGAGCTGTGAGCTGTGTGCCCCGGGGCATTATGGGAACGTCAACGGCTCCATCAGTGACTGCTCGCTGTGTGCCTGCCCCCTACAGGACAACAGGTAACACTGTGCTTCTGTTGAGTGGTAACTTATAATATTTAATGTGATATCATTGACTTTAACTGTGCGTGTGCGTGTGTGTAGTTTCAGTCCCACCTGTGTGTCGGACGGTGTGGTTGGTGATTTCCGCTGCACCGCCTGTCAGAAGGGATACGAGGGGAGATACTGTGAGAGGTGAGACAACACAGGAAGTACCAGCTAGTCAACCTTTAGTCTGACATCATCTGAAGCTCAGCCAATCAGCCGAGAGCTCCGGTTGACGTTTTGATTGTGTTGCTGTCGTCCTGTAGGTGTTCTGTCGGTTACTACGGTAAGCCGTCGTTAGTGGGCGGGGCCTGCTCGCCGTGCGGCTGCAGCGGGCGGGGCTCGCTGCAGCCGCTGTGTGACGAGCTGAGTGGACAGTGTGAGTGTAAGGCCGGAGTCAGCGGACGGTCATGTGACCAGTGTGACAAGAGACGCGTCCTGCAGGGAGGAGAGTGTGTGTGTGAGTACCAACACACACACACAACTGTGTACTGTACAGTGTCTAGCGTGTACTGTACAGTGTCTACTGTGTACTTCACAGTGTCTACTGTGTACTGTACAGTGTCTACTGTGTACTTCACAGTGTCTACTGTGTACTTTACAGTGTCTAGTGTGTACTTCACAGTGTCTACTGTGTACTTTACAGTGTCTACTGTGTACCTAACTGTGTACTTTTCTGACTCCAGCATGTGATGACGAGTGCACCGGAGTTCTGTTGGACCACCTGGAACAAACACACGACCACTTCCTGTCTGTCAACCTGACCGCTGTTGCCATGGCGCCGTACCGCCAGCTGGTGCTGCTGGAGAACCAGACCAGAGACGTCCAGGTAAACCAGGTGTAGACCGGCGGTCCACCTGTAGGTCGAGCTACATCTACCTGTGTTTATCATTACTATGTGTGTCTGAGCTCACAGAGTAACGTGTTACCTGCTGTGTGTTCCTACAGGTGATGTCTTCAGGTAACAGCTCTGTGACTCTGCGTCTGTCCACAGTCGAGGACGAGCTCAATCATTTGACCTCCGACCTCAGCGCTCTGCTGCAGCAGGTAAACATGGTCACCTCTGTTAGAGGCTCATTGCTCTCTCTGAATCAAGAGACCAACATGTGATGATTGGTGATTCATTCTAGGTCCCACGTCTGTCCAACGACCTGCAGAAAGTGGGCGTGTCCATAAACAACAGCCTTTCCCAGGGTGCACTGCTGCTGGAGAGCATCAGCAGCCTTCAGGACAGCATCCAGGGTAAACAATAAGAACGTACCAAATCAAATTCTACCGTTAAAATAAGAATAATAAAATAAAATGACAAACAACTCTGAAATCCTATTGGTCCAGGGCTTCAGAGGGAGGCGGGGCATCTGAACCAAACCGGAGGTAAGGAGCTGGATTCAGCCAGTCAGACGCATCTGCTGGAGGAGGTGGCATCCATGTTGGAAACCATCAGAGCCGTCAACCTAACGGCCGCCAATGCCACAGCCAATCAGGAGCTCAGGTGTGTTTGTGTGTTAAATACTTTCTCCTGATAACTCAATTCAAAGAACTTTACTGACACGACAAAACACCAACCTGTCTGTCTCTCTGCAGTCTTGCCGTCTCTCTTGTCCGCTCGCTGCAGACGGACTTCCTGTTCAGCAGGGCGGCGGTAGACGTCAGGCTCCGCCTCCTCTCCTCCCCACTCACAGTTGCCGTGGAAATGCTGCAGCAGGCTCACAAACAGCTGAGCAACACTGAGCAACAAACCACACACACACACACTCTGCTGGACGCAACACACACACAGCTTCAACACTACCAGGTGAACACACACACACACTGACAGACTGTCCATCACAACCTTAATATGTATTCATTATTCATCTATAATGAGATGTTTTATGAATGTTTATTAATTATTAATCATATGTCTTCAGTCTGTCCATCACAACCTGAGCTCTGACTGTCTTTCTGTGGACGGACTGATGGACGACAGTCAGCTGTTGCTGGATGACATCATCGTCCTGAGGGAGGAGTTTACCAACAGCACCACGGTGAGATAGTCAGTAATATGGTGATGATGTCAGTAATATGATATGAATTCATGAATAAATGAATAAATGACCCCCTGATGAGCAGCAGATGGAGGAGGTGAGCGGTGAGCTGGACCAGTGGCGCCCCCTGCTGAGCAGACAGGTGGACGCTCTGGTTGTCGGACTGAAGACCACCGACGCTCTGATGATGGTTTACCGGGCAGAAGGCCACGCCCACCTGCTGCAGAGCCACGCCCACTTAATGCACAGGTAACTGTGTGTGTGGGTCTACTTGTCTGTCTACCTGTCTGTCAACCTGTCTGTGTAACTCTCCATCTATCTGTCTGTCTGTCTACCTGTCTGAGTTACCTGTCTGTCTACCCATCTGTCTGCGTGAGACACAATCATACCTGTCGTCCTCCCTCAGCTCTCTGGCGTCGGTGTGTAACGTGTCTCAGAACGGCAGCCGATTGGCTCAGCTGGACAGTGACATCACAGAACGAGTTGACTCCGCCCAGCGGGTTGCTTTGATGGCCCACAGCTCCGCCTCCATCGCTCTCAACATCGTGAGTGTGTGTGTGTGTGTGTGTGTGTGTGTGTGTGTATGATAAATACACACCTGTGGAAAGTTCTCATGACCTCATAGTCGTCGGCGTCTGATTGGTCGTTGACGTCACATGTCTTGAACTCTTGTGTGTTTGTTTCAGACCGTCCAAACAGAGCAGCTGCTTTCAGAAGAGGGCGGAGCCAAACTGAAAGTCAGCTCTGCTGTTTTAGAAGGAAGTCGACGAATCAACGAGACGGCTGAAGGTTTGTGTCTTAATATTATATCTATTGATATAATATTAATAAGTGACGGAAACAAGCAGTCACGTTTTATTTTCATCGGTTTCTGTCTCTCAGAGCTGCAGCTGAACATCTCCATGGTAACCAGCAGACTGGGATTGGTCAGAGACGGCATCCATAAAAGCAGCCTCCTCCTCCGTCAGCCAATCAGAGAGCTGCAGAGCCTCCCTAACGGTGAGACATGTTAGGCTCCGCCTACTCCAACACTGTAGAGTGGATGTGTGGATGTGTGGATGTAGCGATGTGTCGATGTATCGATTTATTGATACATCGACATCGATACATTGTGTGTTGTATTTGTTATCGATTTATTGATCGTTGTCTTCCATCAGCTTCGTCCACGGCGCTGCAGCAGGCTCGCCATCAGACTGCAGCTGCTCGCTCCGGACTGCATGAGGCGCTGCAGCAGCTGCAAAGACTCGGACTGCGGCTGCAGGCTTCTTCTTCTGTGGTGGAAAACACCAACAACACCGTGAGGCAGACCAACCGGCTGATGACTCACACACACACTGCAGGTCAGTCGGCGTCGGTAGAGAGAGTCACACACTGTGAGAGGTTCATGGGCCTTAACACTTCCTGTTTCCTGTGTACTCAGCCAATGAGGCGCAGCGTAAGCTAGAGGAGGCGGAGCATCGTACGGTGCGTCTGATGGAGCGAATAAAGCCGCTGAGCATGCTGGGAGAAACGCTGAGCAGGAATCTGTCCGACATCAGAGAGCTGATCGGTCAGGCCAGAAGACAAGCAGCCTCGGTACATAAACACACAAACACACACACACTGACACTCAAACTAACACTGAAGTACACACTGAAACACACACACTGTAACACACACACAAACACACAAACACACTGAAACACACACACTGAAGAACACACTGATGGTGGTGATGATGATGATGATGATAACGATGATGATGATGATAATATGATGATGATGATAATATGATGAAGATAACACTGATGATGTCGTCTCCTCAGATTAAGGTGGCGGTTCGGGCCGACAGAGACTGTGTTCGGTCCTACAGACCTCAGGTTGAGTCCAGTAACTTCAACACTCTGAGTCTGACCCTGAAGACCTCCAGTCCAGACAACCTGCTCTTCTACCTGGGCAGCAACACCACGGTAACCACCGCTACACTCCCACACACACACTTCCTGTTTCCTGTTGTCCTCCTCTAACTCTGACGTGTGTTCAGGTGGACGTCCTGGCCGTAGAGATGCATGCTGGGAAGGTTACTCTGTTGTGGGACGTGGGCTCAGGAAGCACCAGACTGGAGTTTACTGGACTGGACATCACCAACAACCGATGGACCAGAATCAACGTGACCCGGTAAATAAAACACTTCGTCATCGCCCCCACGTCACATGATGAGACGTCACATGATGAGACGTCACATGATCATATGTCACATGACGTCACGTGATCAGATCACGTGACGTCACGTGATCAGATCACGTGTCACATGAGATCCCATCACATCTGATCGCATCACGTGACATCACATGATGAGATCACATGACGTGATCACATGACGTCACATGATGAGATCACATGACGTCTCATGATCAGATCACATGACGTCACATGATCAGATCACATGACAGATCACGTGACGTCTCGTGATGAGATCACGTGACGTCACATGATGAGATCACGTGACGTCACATGATCAGATCACGTGACGTCACATGATCAGATCACACGTGGTGATGTCACGTGATGATGTCACGTGATGATGTCACGTGATGATGTCATGGTGTTCCAGGTTCGGTTCCCGCTCTTCTCTGTCGGTTCATCAGTTGGAGGCGGAGTCGGCTCCGTTGCCCGCGGTAACGGCGACATCACCGGGACCGTCCAGAGTTCTAGACATCGACAGGAACACAGTGATCCACATCGGAGGACTGGGGCCTCACACTCAGGTAACACACACACACACACACACACATCAGGTGTAAAAGTGTGTGTGCAGGTGAACAGGTGATAACTGTGTGTGTGTGTGTGTGTGTGTGTGTGTGTGTGTGTGTGTGTGTGTGTGTGTGTGTCAGAGCCCTGCGGCGCTGCAGTCCTCCTCCTTCCAGGGATGTTTGGGCGAAGCATCGCTCAACGAGAGGAACATCGGCCTCTGGAGCTACGACAGCAGAGAGGGAGAGTGTGGAGGCTGCTTCAGCAGGTAGGGTACACCTGGTGGAGCAACACAGGTGTGACGCTACACCTCCACCTGTCTGTCTCACCTGTCTGTCTCCACCTGTCTGTCTCTACCTGTCTGTCTCCACTTGATTGTCTCTACTCGTCTGTCCCCACCTGTCTGTCTCACCTGTCTGTCTCACCTGTCTGTCTCCACCTGTCTGTCTCACCTGTCTGTCGCTACCTGTCTGTCTCCACTTGATTGTCTCTACTCGTTGGTCCCCACCTGTCTGTCTCACCTGTCTGTCACTACCTGTCTGTCTCTCAGTCCCCAGGCAGAGGAGACCTCCTTCCACTTTGATGGATCTGGATTCTCATTGGTCCAGAAGTCTCTGCGAGCGACCTCCACCTCCATCGTCCTGCTGTTTAAAACGCTGTCGCCGGGCGGATTACTGCTCTACTTGGCCTCCAACAACACTGTACGATACACACACTCACTCACTGTTGAGGCTCTTATTGTGAAGTAAATACAGACATGACCTCACTTCCTGTGTCCTACAGAGGGACTTCCTGTCCATGGAGCTGGTGGAGGGGCGTGTCCGTTTGACTTTTGACCTCGGCTCAGGTGCTCTGATCCTGACCTCCAAAAAGAAATACAACACCGGAGTCTGGTACAAGATCACCCTGCAGAGGAGCAAACGCAAAGGTACTACTACTGCTAAAGTACTGCAATACTACTCTAAGAGTCTGGTACGAGATCACCCTGCAGAAGAACGAGTACTGGTACTGCAATGTTTAGTAGTACTAATACTTCAGTGTTGGGTAGTATTAATACTGCAGTGTTAGGTAGTATTAATACCACAGTGTTTGTTAGTACTAATACCACAGTGTTAGGTAGTACTAATACCACAGTGTTTGGTAGTACTAATACCACAGTGTTAGGTAGTACTAATACCACAGTGTTTGGTAGTATTAATACCACAGTGTTTGTTAGTACTAATACCACAGTGTTTGGTAGTACTAATACCACAGTGTTTGGTAGTACTAATACCACAGTGTTTGGTAGTACTAATACCACAGTGTTTGTTAGTACTAATACCACAGTGTTAGGTAGTATTAATACCACAGTGTTTGGTAGTATTAATACCACAGTGTTTGTTAGTACTAATACCACAGTGTTTGGTAGTACTAATACCACAGTGTTTGTTAGTACTAATACCACAGTGTTTGTTAGTACGAATACCACAGTGTTTGGTAGTACTAATACCACAATGTTTGGTAGTACTAACACCACAATGTTTGGTAGTACTAATACCACAGTGTTATGTAGTATTAATACCACAGTGTTTGTTAGTACTAATACCACAGTGTTAGGTAGTACTAATACCACAGTGTTTGTTAGTACTAATACCACAGTGTTAGGTAGTACTAATACCACAGTGTTTGGTAGTGTTAATACCACAGTGTTTGTTAGTACTGATGTTTCTGTGTTGTCCAGGTTACCTGTCCATCATGGCAGCTGACCAATCATCAGACAAGGAGGTGTTGGAGGCGGAGTCTCCCGGAACGGCCTCCGACCTGAACCGCTCCGACCTGGACCCGATCTACATCGGAGGACTTCCTGCCTCCAGACCAATCAGGTGAGTCTGTGACGTCACCAGGTGAAGATGATGATGTCACAGGAGGATGTCTCTGTGCTAACTCCGTCCTCACCTGTCTGTGTGGTTGCCAGGCGACATGTGGTCTCCAGGTTGTACATGGGCTGCATAAAGAACGTGGAGATCGCTCGGTCCAACTTTGACCTGCTGAGAGACGCCTTCGGAGTCAGGAAGGGCTGCGTGCTCGAGGTGATGACCTCACTCAGCTCACCTGTGGATCAATCAGCCAATCAGGCGCTTCTTTGTTTTTATTTGTTGTTGTGTGTTGTATTTGTTGTATTTGTTGTATTTGTTGTTTCGCGATCAGGCCGTGCGGAGTGTGTCGGTGTTCGGAGGCTTCATTCAGATCACTCCTCCATCGCTGGGTCAGGAGGCGGAGCTTCTCTTCTCCTTCTCCACCAACAACCAATCAGGAGTCCTGCTGGCCGTCTTCAGTGACGAGCGAGCACAGAGACATGTGAGACAGGTGAGACAGACAGGTCATGTACACCTGTACACCAGGTGTATCTGGTACCATCATGTGACCGTGATTGTCCTTACCTGTGTGTGTGTGTGTGTGTGTGTGTGTGTGTGTGTGTGTGTGTGTGTGTGTGTGTGTGTGTGTGTGTGTGTGTGTGTGCGCGTGTGTGCAGCACTTCCTGTCGGTCCACCTGATTTCAGGTTCGTTGGAGGTGGAGCTTGGTGAGGTGGGCGGGGCTACTCGGAGGGTGATGGTGGTGAAACCGGATGGAGGATCCTTCAGTGACGGAACAAAACGCTCTGTGATCGTCGCCATCAACAGGAAGTAGGTGTTACCATGGAAACAGACTCACCTGTCTCACCTGACTGAGAAGCCTCGATTGATATACTACCTGTCTGTCTCTCAGGTCTCTGTCCGTGCAGGTGGACGAGGAACACCTGAAGTCCGTGTCTGTGTCGCCGGGCGGATTGTCTCGTTTGTCTCCAGCCTCTTTCTTCATTGGTGGGCTGCCATCGGGGGCGGAGTCTCGTCTGCCAATCAGATTACAAGATGTGTCCAGGAGCTTCAGAGGCTGCATCCAACACCTGGTGGTGGGCGGAGCGTAAGTGTCACTCACACACACACACACACACACAGCCGCACACACACACACACACACACAAACTAACACACACACTTTCTGTCTCTCTGATTGGTTTGATTGGCGGCTCCCTCCAGGTTAGTCGACCTATCAGGAGCTGTGAGGTATGAGGGGGCGGAGCTTGACAGCTGCCTATTGGAGGAGAAGGTAGTGGGGGCGGTACTGCCTGATGACCAGGATGTAGAACCCACTCCTGACCCCGCCCACCTGCCTGTACCCCCGCCCACACACTTGAGCACCTTGACACCTGGAGCACTAACGGTAATCAATACGTTTATTATTGATCATTGGTTGTTGAATATTGGTCAGTATATACTGTAGCGTGAGCGGCTCCTGCCCCGTTTCTAGGCGGGGAAGTAGTTCGCACCTAACACGGTGGTTATTCCGTCGGCTGTCCCACCTGAGAGGATATGCGTTCCTCCTTGAGGTCTCAGAACAATACCTTCGGCCTTTTATCTCACCCCGTAGCTAAATCGTTAGGATTTCGGAATTAATTGTCTTCTTGAAAGTCTTTTAGGGCTATTGCCATAGGCGCTCTCAGTAGGATGTAACCCTAACACCCTGTATGTAATAGTTATGTACATCGTCTATACTTTACTATTGCCTATTGTGAACATTCTCACCATTTATGACTAACACTGCCAAGTCTTCACCCAGAGAACTCACCTTCAGCTCCTAATGGTAGCTTCTGTCGTCACATCTTATCGCACCATTAACGGACAGGGGAAGAGGGGTACATGGTTCTAAAGGACCAGAACACTGTTTTGGTTTCAGTCACTTACTAAATGTAAGGCTGTGTTTTTATTTCTGGTTTTCACACAAGATTCACATACAACGATTTCAATTCAATGAAACAGTGACAGTGGCTACAAGAACTAACTCTAGCATTCCTCTCTGTCAGCCTTTGCTGATTATGTAATGAGGTATTCTTCTCCCCCTCGTCTGTCTGCTCTGCTGTTTTTATTCTGCTCTCGGGCTGGAACCTCCTTCAGGCTCATGAGTCACTCACTCATGAGTCCTCCTCTTTCTGGAGCTGACACAGGATGTAACTGGTTTGATCCAGTTAGCACCAGAAGCACTGTATAAGGCTCAAGTGACTATGTTACACAAAGTGTCTAACTCTAAACAGTTTATATGTTAAATCACAGCTTATCAAAAATAAAACAATTCACATTATGATGGTTATAAAAAGTGTAAACAAGCTATATGTTGAGCTGGTTATACTTTGAAATCAAAAGGGTTACAGGTTATAATAGCTATACTTTATGCTTTCATACTTTTCTACGATCTTTCTACAATATTGATTATTGACTCCTGCTCACTACTATTGGTTATTGATCGGCGAGTGTCATACTTTTAATTGTTGTTGATAACTGATCACTGATTATTGGTTATTTGATCTGTGTTTGACGCAGTGTGTGTCGGAGGTGGAGCCAACCTTCCTACCGTCAGCGGTTCAGTTTGGTTCCTCCAAACACAGCCACATGACCTTCATCATCACCCCCAACACTGTCAAGAGAAGGTGAGTCTACAATTAGAGAGGGGCGGGGTTACAGTCAGAGAGGGGCGGGGTTACAGTCAGATATGGGCGGGGTTACAGCCAGAGAAGGGCGGGGTTACAGACAGAGAAGGGCGGGGTTACAGCCAGAGAGGGGTGAGGCTACAGCTAGAGAAGGGCGGGGTTACAGCCAGAGAGGGGTGAGGCTACAGCCAGAGAAGGGCGGGGTTACAGCCAGAGAGGGGTGAGGCTACAGCCAGAGAAGGGCGGGGTTACAGCCAGAGAGGGGTGAGGATACAGCCAGAGAAGGGCGGGGTTACAGCCAGATAGGGGGTGTGGCTCCAGTCGGTTGTTCTCCGTCTGACTCTGCTGTCTCTCTTCGTCCTCAGCGTGTCGTTGAGGTTGTCGGTTCGAAGCCGAGCTCGTGACGGGTTGATCCTCCTCCTCTCAGACTCCAAACAGATGGACTTCGTCGTCCTCAAACTGACCGCGGGGAGACTGGTGATGTCAGCTGACCTGGGGAAAGGCCCCGCCTCCATCGCCTCTTCTGTTGCCATTAACGACGGAGAGTGGCACACCGTGAGTTAATATAACACACACACACACACACACACACACACACACACACACAGTGTCAGATACACATTACCACACACATTTAGCAGAATATAGAATAAAAAATGTCCCTCTAAACCCTGTTCTCATACTCAAGTAGTCTGTGCCTGCTCTCGGATTTGCTCTGCTTCTGCTCAAACTGTATATTAACCAATAGAATGACAGCTGTCTTGTGTTGACACTTTTTTCTCTTTAACTCTCTCTGAACTTTTTGAACATTAAGAGGTCCACCATTTCTCTTCACCATGTCTCTAAATGTGTCTTCAGACTCTGATTAACATGTTCTAGAGCAGGGATTCCCAAAGTGTGGGATAAAAATTCCCTTTGTACGATTTAAATTTAAAATTAAAAACATACAATTTAATAAATAAATGTGCAGCTAACGTCAGCTAACAGCTAACTTCATTCATTCAGCAACATTCATGCAAATATGCTAAACTGGGGAAACTGTCAGGTGGGACATCTGAAGCTATCAGTCATAAAAGAGGAGAGAGAGAGAGAGAGAGAGAGAGAGAGAGAGAGAGAGAGAGAGAGAGAGAGAGAGAGAGAGAGAGAGAGAGAGAGAGAGAGAGAGAGAGAGGAATCGGAGGCGAGAGAGAGAGAGAGAGAGGAATCGGAGGCGAGAGAAACGGAGAGGTGCGTTGGGGAGAGACCGGGAGAAGAAATCAAACGGGAGTCAGAGAAAGATGAGACGGAGGAGACCGAAAAGGAGGAAGGGATAGCACAGACAAATGGGGAGCACATAGGTCCATCGCGGAGTCAAGGTGAAAGAAGAGGAAACGAGAGTGAGCATCAGACTGGGAAAAAATAGAGGAAATATGATGAAAATGATCTGGGTCTGGGCTTCACTTGGATTGGCAATGCAGATTGCCCAACGCCACAGTGCGTGGTGTGCAGTGAGGTTCTGGCTAACATCTGTCTGAAGCCCTCTTATTTACTGTCGCCACCTGAACACCAAGCATGCCAGTGCAAGTCAAAAGCCGTTTACATTTTACATCGAAATTGGAGGAGTTACAAAACAGCCCAAAACAACTGCAGTCTCATGTATGGTTAATTGTAAATTAAATGTGATGCAATCTGCCTCTGAGCCTGTGCGTGTGTCCTCGCCATCCTTATTGCTCTTTAAAAGTGACGCCTTGTGTAACTGAAAGTTATTGAAACTTTGTTGCAGTGTTTCAGGGCGTTTTCACACCTTCAGTTCTTTTGCTTTGTTCTGATTCAGGGATTAATATGATACAATGTTGCAGTTGCCCCTTTGTTCGGTTTGTGTTCACACTGAAACATTTAACAGCAGACTAAATATTGTAAACAAACGCCACGCGCGAGCAAACTGTTCTCTCATTGGTCCGATTTCTATGCGGCTATAAATAGGCTCTGTTGCTTCTTTTAAGGTGTGGGGGATTGGGGGTGCGTGAACCCGGTCGGGATGTAGAAGTTGGTGCGTGGCCTAAAAAGTTTGGGAACCGCTGTTCTAGAGATTTGACCCTGGCAGTGTTTATATCGGACCCTCTTTGTCTCTCAGGTGGTCGGCGAGGTGAGCCGGCGGTCTGTGTTGGTGTCGGTGGACGGGTCGAGTCCGGTCTCTGTGTCCGTCAAAGGAAACCAGCTGAACGTGGACAACCGACTCTACCTGGGAGGACTGCCGCACGCACACACCACCAGGAGGATCAATGTGCGACGCGTTCCACTCTTTATCCACAAACAATGAACCAGGTGACTCTGGTTGCCACCTGCTAGACCACCTGTAATATGGGTCCCTTCTCTTCGTCTCTCAGGCCAGCAGCAGTTTTCCGGGTTGCGTTCGCTCCGTCAGTCTGAACGGCGCCATGTTGGACCTGTCCAAGCCGGCCTCGAAGCATGATGTCACTTCCTGTTTCACCAACGACCAGTCAGGAAGTTACTTCAACGGCAGTGGATACGCCGCCTTCAGTGAGACCAACACACAACGACACCAAAAACACATCCTGCTTTAGTCTGATCACATGGTTCCAGTATTCATCTGTCTGTGTGTGTGTGTGTGTGTGTGTGTGTGTGTGTGTGTGTTCAGTGCGTGATGGTTATAAGGTCGGCTCTGACGTGTCGGTGTCTCTGGAGTTTCGAACGAGCCAATCAGAAGGAGTGTTTCTGGGAATCAGCAGCGCAAAGGTGGATGCCATCGGACTGGAGATGATCAACGGACAGGTGAGCACAGAGTTACCTGTGTGTGTGTGTGTGTGTGTGTGTGTGTGTGTGTGTGTGTGTGTCACATATAAACTGTGTGTGTGTGTGTGTGTGTGTGTGTGTGTGTGTGTGTGTGTCCTCAGGTGGTGTTTAATGTGAATAACGGGGCGGGTCGTGTGTCGGTGCGTTCGGTCAGTCACGTGTTGTGCGATGGACGGTGGCACCACCTGGTGGCCAGAAAGAGCAAACACACCCTGAGTCTGAGTGTTGATGGGCGGAGCTACACCACCAACAACCCTTACCCACAATCCACCTCTGCTGAGACCAACAACCCTGTTTACCTGGGAGGCTTTCCAGGTGAGAAAGGCTTCAATGAGGTGATTCACATTTTATGACACGTGTTGATGACTGACACTAACCTCTCTACCTGTCTGTCTCTCTCTCTCCCTCTCTCCCTTCCTCTCTCTCTCTTCCTCTCTCTCTCTCTCTCCCTGTCTCCCTCTCTCTCTCTCCCTGTCTCTCTCTTCCTCTCCCTCTCTTCCTCTCTCTCTCGCTCTCTCTCTGTCTCTCTCTATCCCTCCTCCTCCTCCTCTTCCTCCTCTCTCTCTCTCTCTCTCTCTCTCTCTCCCTCCTCCTCCTCCTCTCTCTCTCCCTCCTCCTCCTCCTCCCCTCTCTCTCTCTCTCTCTCTGATACAGTCGGGGTGAAACAGAACTGCCTGTCTATCAGCTCCAGGTTCAGAGGTTGTCTGATGAACCTGCAGCTTGTTAAGTCTCACCTGAGTGACGCTCTGGACCTAAGCTCCGCCCACTTCCTGTTGGGCGTCACTCCTAACTCTTGTCCTGTTGCCAAGCAACGCCCAGCCTCCCTCTGATTGGTCCACAGATAGAAACAGGACAGAGGAGTATTAATGTTGTTGGATGATGCTCATTTCCACCTTCACTGTAACTTTGATCTCTTTCTCCATGAATCATTAAAGATCATCTGAATATAACATGTGTTCGTTTCTCATCATTTTCACATTTATCAAACACTGTAAACATCAGAAGACTTGTTCCATGTCTGTTCTGGTTGTCTGAAGGTGAAGATGTTGAGTTTGATGAGGAGACTTTTGTCTCAACAAGATTCATACAAAGCTCCGTATTCATCGTCAGAATAGCTTTGTGTTCATCCTGGTCACGTGCTCATGCTGCTTGTTGCTGTTCTCGAGTCTACAATAACTTCTATAAAACATTTATACTTTAATCAGAATATGTTCTTGCTGAAAGAATAAAAAGACAGAAAGTTGGGTAATTTATGAATCATTTTATTTTATTTTAGTGGGTAAAGATATTCAGTAAGTTTTAATTCATCATGAAGAAAATAACACACCTGGGGGAGCGGTCAGTCTGTCAGGTAACACCTGGGGGAGCCAGCAGTCTGTAAGGTGACACCTGGGGGAGCGGTCAGTCTGTCAGGTGACACCTGGGGGAGCGGTCAGTCTGTCAGGTGACACCTGGGGGAGCGGTCAGTCTGTCAGGTAACACCTGGGGGAGCGGTCAGTCTGTAAGGTGACACCTGGGGGAGCGGTCAGTCTGTAAGGTAACACCTGGTGGAGCGGTCAGTCTGGGATTACATACGAACACAGATCAATATATAAATACATAGACAGGTGAATAAAATAATTTGAGTTTCCATGGCGAGATGAAAAAATGGCACATTACTATTGCATTATGGGTAAATAGAGAGCAGATTGTTGGTGCTATACAGTGAGTGGTTACAGTGCTAGCAATCATGCTATTTTACATTTCAGACAGGAGGCTGTCGGATCCATCACCTCACCAAGTGACACAGGTGAAGTCAGGTTATTATTACAGAACCTTCAGATGTGGCACAAACTAATTATTGAATATTACATAAGGCGGCTGTCTCTCTGTCTCACAATCAGGAGTAAATATACCTGAGTCAACCAACCAATCAGATGTCTGCTTTGACCTTTAGGTGTGTCAGGTGTGTGTGGGAAGGCGGGGCTTGTTTTACTAGGAAGTAAATACAGCAGCAGGACAATTTTTGGTGAAAGTTCATCTGAAGTTGACTGGCTCTGGTTGCCATGGGAACATGTTGATGGCGTCACAGCAGCGCCACCTGTCTGTCTCTCACCTGTCTGTGTTGTGTAAATATTTTATGCCGTCTTTGTCTTAAATTTGCCTGTAAATGCCATCATGAAGCTTTCAACGAGATCTAATCAAACTATTGAACTAATGCTAACGGCTCTGAAACAAACTCAGCCTTTGGCCCCGCCCCCAGTCAGACAGACAGGTGCTGCTGTGTGTGTGTGCACAGGTGTACATGCATGTGTGTGTGTGTGTGTGTAAATCCTCAGTTCCATTGATGTCCACTGGGTGTCGCTGAAAACAGTGTCTACAGTTGTCTCTGGAGTCTGGACTACAGCTCCCATGATGCAGCAGAGGCCTCTCGATTCAGTCCTGAAAGAAAGACCGAAGCAGCTGTGAGACTACATTGTAAATCTAAATGTGTATATTGAATCCATCTATAGCTCATGGCCTGAAGTTCTCTGGAATCACGATAAATGACCCTTGAATAATTAAGTTAGCAAGGATAGCATCATGGTCATGCTAATTAGCATAGCACAGCAAGCTTCAAAGCATGGCCAGGCTGTTAGCGTAGCATAGCAAGGTTTTCTTCCCTGAGTGTTGTTCACCGAGTCAGCATTCTGATCACGCTGTTTATTTCCTCTTCACACTATCTTCTATTTAATCCGATCATTGCACAAACTGATCCCCATCAATCTTTCCTGTCCTCCAATCAGAAGATTCCCTTCACTACCTGTGTTCTCTGGACCAATCAGAACCTCTGAGCTCCTGGTCCGTCAGTGTTTGTCTCTCCTGGTCGAACTCCGATGTTCCTGAACACCAAATTTGCGTAAAACATGCAAACACCATGTTATGAATGCTAGCATGCACCAGCCAACCAATCAGCATCCAGTACGGGACTCCACCTGTTACCTGTGATGTCACTAATCGATCACATGATCAGGAGAGACCTCTGTTTCTTTATGGACAACGACTCGTGTGACTGACAGCTCAGGATGCTGCAGCCGAGCCTCGCTGAGCACCGCAGCCAGAGCCTTAAAGAGAGACATGAGGATCAGAACCTGGTCCAGGATTAACCCTGGACTGACCACCCCCAGGTCTATTTTTGGTTAATCCAGGTATATATATATATGTCATGGGTTAATCTGGGTTTGTTCAGGTCTATACTGGGTTAATCCATGTATGTATTAGTCCGTCCGGGGTTAGTCCAGGTATGTACAGGTGTGTCCTAGGTTAGTCCAGGTTTGTATATGTCTATCCTGGGTTAATCCAGGTATGTACAGGTGTGTGCTAGGTTAGTCCAGGTATGTACAGGTGTTCCCTAGGTTAGTCCAGGTATGTACATGTGTGCCCTAGGTTAGTCCAGGTATGTACAGGTGTGTCCTAGGTTAGTCCAGGTATGTACAGGTGTGTCCTAGGTTAGTCCAGGTATGTACAGGTGTGTCCTGGAAAATCAAGACCTGTTCCTGTTATGACACTTACCTCGTCATGGTCGATTTCTGTGTCTCCAGAAATCACGATTCTCTTTTCGATTCTGGTTTCTGACATTCCTCCTTTCACTGTCTGAAGACACAGAGAAAGAGAGAAACTCTGATCAAACATCTAAACATCTTCACTGCTTCTGTCTGGTGGTGGTGGTGGTTACCTTGGTGATGTGTGTGGTGGTGGTGGTGTTGGAGGTCTCAGCAGTGAAGGTCTGGGAGCTCAGCAGTAAACCTGTAGGAGGATCAGAGTCTACGCAGCTCTGAAACACACACACACACACACACACACACACACACACACACACACACACA